CTTCCTTCTATAAACCTCCTTGCTGTCTCTGATCTTGACTTTGAGCTGCTTCTGTATACTCCTCAATAACTCCCTGTCTCAATCCCTAAAGGCTCTTTTTTCTTGTTTAAAAAGTTCCTTTAGCTCACTGGTGATCCAGGGTTTGTTATTAGGGGAGCATCTCACTGTTCTGCCGGGGATGGTGTTGTCCACACAGAAGTTTACATAGTCAGTCACACACTCAGTCATGGCATTTATGTCATCTCCATGCGACTGGCAAAGAACAATCCAATCTGTAGCTTCAAAAATCCCTGTAGGGCTTCTTCAGCTTCCTGTGACCACTTTCTCACAGTCCTTGTAGTTATAGGTTGTCTCTGAACAAGTGGTTTATATTCTGAGCAGAGATAAACAAGGTTGTGATCTGAATAACCCAGAGGAGGTCTTGCATTGGCGATATAAGAATCCTTAACATTTGTGTTAAACAAATCCAATGTCTTGTTTTCTCTGGTAGAGCAGCTGAAAAACTGTTGAAATGTTGGCAGTTTAGCAGAGATTGAGGCATGATTAAAATCACCAGATATTGCCACAAATGCATTGGGGTGTTGTGTCTGTATCTTAGCAACAACGGAACTGACGATATCACATGCATTGTCAGCAACAGCTGAGGGTGGAATGTAAACATCTGCCAAAATAACACTGGTGAACTCTCTTGGTAAATAATATGGACGAAAACTTACTGCCTGTAAGAAATCCTGATGATTAGCTTCTTTATTCACAATAAAAGGAGATGTGTTATGGCTGAGAATCTTTAAGGCTTGTACTAACTTATTTTTTCACTATTCACTTAACAGCTCTAAAAGGCAAATTCTCTTGTGATGTAGACTTGAGGTATTACAGCAGTCAGATTATCAAAGCAGCCAGTCTCATAAAGTCAGGGTCACCAGAGGTTTGAAACAGCAGGGAGTCCTGGTGTGGTTACACCTACAGCAGGCTGATGTCTCATTAAGAACAAAAAGGCTCTACAGCATCAGAAGACACAGCAGATACTACAAAAGTGTTTTAAAGGAGATATATCATGCTTTTAAATCCTTCTTTTTCACAATTAAATCATTCAGTTAAAGTGGAACTGCAATGCTTTGGTCTGAATTCCTCCTTGTAAATTTACCAGATCCTCGTTCTCCGCTTTTCTAAGGTGTGGCTCAGATCAACACATTTGGATGCTGTCTCTTTTTATCCAAACAAGACAATTCACACATTGCCCCCCTCCAGCTTCCAGAGTGGTCCATTCTAGTTTGATAGAGGGGTTTATGACTGCATACAGCACAGAAACTTTTTTTAAATTTATTTCCAAATGAATTAAAAGATGTGAACAGAAGACTCGTCCATCCAGCTTTACATGTTGGAGCCAGGGTCTGATTCAGAGTGAGAGGAGAATGAAGATGACCAAATAGATGGTTTTCATTGACGTCATCATCCGGGACTTTTTTTACTCTCCGCACCCCGTTCGTGGGCTACTATTTAGCTTGTATTGATAAAACCAGTATGGGAGAACCACAAAAGCAAGGGAGGAAAAATGCAAAAAGGCCACTGAACAACACAGACGAGCATGACCAGGATAATAATACTTTGTATTTAAAAGGTGCCTTTCAGGACACCCAAGGATCCATTGGATAATAAATCTAAATCAAGGTATTTAGCTTTATTGAAAGTAGCGATCCTTACGAGCTGCTGAAGTCTGCAGAGCTGACACGGAGGCTGTGTTGGCATGACTCTGTGTGACTTTCTCTGATATTAGTAACTATATCTTGCATACTTCAAATGTGTACTGTACATACTGCATAAGAAGGAACTTTTTGTGATTAATCTGATACTTTCAGTGTATCCTACGTTCATGTTTACATGGGTAGATTGCATAATATTCAAAACACTTCTGTTCATAGTGCACACTCTTTTTGTTTCTTTTTTTAAAGTTAATTAATGTACTATGCGGTCACTAACCCTGGCAGGAGTGATCCGAACACACTCTGGAATCCTAAAGAGGGTGAAATCTTTGTAGTTGATTATTGCCAGCCACAAAATCACATCGCTTTGCTGACAGTTCTACTTCTCCTTAGTGTTTCTACACCGTCTGTTTTTTAAGAGCGTCTCTCTGCCACACGAGCAGCACAGTTTTGTAACTAACTCGAAAGCAAATTTGCTCCATGACTGTTAAAACTACTTATAATAGAAACATATTACATAAACAATCCAGTCTGTATACATTTCTGTGCTGTAGACTATCCCCTCTTCCGCATTTGCAGCCACAAATATGGCGATTTGATCACGTGATCTGCAGGTCGCTACATCATTTGAAAACCATCTATTGGAGTTGGAAAGTCCGGACCTTATTTGGCAGTTTTGTCACAAATAATTTAATATAATAGTGTGTGCTAAACAGAATTAAACTTTTCTGCACTCCAAGAGACTCCAAGTACACAACAAAATGTAGTGAATGGCTTAAATAGTGAATTTTGCATGATAAGTCCGTTTTTATACTCTGGTTATCTGGAAATCAGATTAAATCAGTCAAGCCAAATTCTGAGATTAAAGTCAGAATTCTAACATTATAGTCAAAATTGTTTTTTGTTGTTTTTCAGTTACCCTAATCCTCTTTTGCACACTTTTACACATGCATGTACAGCATTTGTGTTCTAATGTTTGTGTAGAAATTCTCAGAGCAATAATAATTAAAGCAATTTTTGTCCAATCAAATGAGAGACAGAACCCCACATGGGTTAACTGATGAGCATAAAGTGTCACTTATTTAAATAAATTAAACATACATATTTCATTGTTCAAATAGGAATTTAAGAGTTTTTAAGCATTAAGAACATCAGAAATCATATTTGGTATTATGTGGTAGTTTTGTGATGTAAGCACAGGAGTTTTGCTTTTAGCCGAATTTTAAAGGGGAAAAAACACACTATGCTTTTATATCAGTCATATGTTTCTATGAACCAAACCAATAAAATGTTTAGCAGTTCAAATGGGATCAGACTGAAGTGTTTTGACAGTTATGTGTTTTAACATTTTATTATCAACTTGGGTTTTATTTTTTTAACTCTCCTACAAAAAAATAAAATAAAATAATGTATGATTTTTTTCTAAGGCTTCCAAAAGTGGTCTCACTGTGAGCAGTTAGTCACAACCTGGAACCTGGTTTCAGGCCTGCTGGGGGCAGAAACTCACCTCCTTCTCTCCACATATATTGCTGATGATGGAATTTGAAGCTGGACTGGCAGATGGACCAAGGACTGCCACCACCCCTTTAGACATAATCTGGCACACTGAGATGAGACCAAGGAAGGGTAGGGGGAAAAATAAGGAGGGGAACAGAAAACAAATAAAACATTAGTTTTAGGCATAACAAATCAAATATTTTTGTCCAGTTGATAAATAATACATTAGTTACATATCACTCGCTCAAAGCAAAGAGTAAGTTTCTAGAGTCTTTCCTTCCTTGACAGTATAAAAATCTACACAGACAAGTGAATAGGTTTCAGAAGTTTTGCCTTCTAGGAAACATTGATATTGATATGATATGCTCTCACGTTTGGAGACAGAAGGCTTTAAAAAATGGGTCAAGACACAGACGGATCAACAGAGTGACAGACAGAGAAACACAGGGACAGATTCAGCTGTATCTGGAGGCTTAAAGCCCAAAATCTGCTGTTCGAATATTTGCACATGAATAGAATCATATCCCCAAAAGTGGCACACATCTCATCTTGTTCGACAAACTCTACATTTACAAGGACTGATTTAAAGACTTTACCTTTGGGGTTGAAAACACATCATTTGACAAGAACCTTTTAGTAAAAAAATGAGTTTTACTCCTCTCTTGTGTAAACATGCTTTCATCTTCCATTCTGAATATGTGGATGTTATTTTTTGTCAGTTAATAATCCCTGGTTTATAATTAAATACTGCTGCCTTGGTGTGAGTTGGAACATGTAGAGAACAGTGCTGTTCTTTGTGTGTGTGTGTGTGTGTGTGTGTGTGTGTGTGTGTGTGTGTGTGTGTGTGTGTGTGTGTGTG